TGGGGCAGGTGAACTATAGCTTTGGCAACATCTCTTAATACTTTTGACTTTTTGCTAAACCCTACTCTATCGAATTTATATCATTTACGACTTTATTTGTCTTAAAATAAGTATTATCATGCATATAAGCTTATTTTGCGGCTCATTAAGAAAAATAAAGAAATAAATAGGAAGTTAAATCTATCAAGTTACTCAGAAAATACCGATCAATGCTTAGGGTAGCTGAAAAAATGGAAACATGTGCAATAAGACTGCAAATATTTTCTTAAAAAATCATGATTTAGATTTTCTCTAAAAATTTAAAAGAATTATGTTATTATAACCATAGGAATATTAATTTCTTTTGATAACATTAAACTCGAATCTAATATTTGCTTATGTATTATTCAAATTTATAGATAAAACATTGAGATAATTAATTGCCCGGCTATAAAATTATTGATATAATTTATTCAATTTTTACCTAAATTGACTTAAAAAGAAAAGAATTTAAGAGCCCTAGCCCCCTCCTCACTTCACAAAAATTCAAACTAAAAATCAAATCTTGATGAGACGAATTAAGGTAACAAGACTTGTATCACAATTCTAAAAATCATCAATTACATACTTGATTATTATAGCAAAATTTCGAGATCAAATTATCGATTATTTTCAAAAGTATTTTTCAATCAAAATCTATTGTGATCCATGATTCCTCATCTAGCTAGATGATAGGTCATCACTAGATCAATATTTCCAAAGTTTTCAGAAGAGAGAAACCAATTAACAACGTTCGATGAAATTTTATTTTGTATAATAATGTATAAAATTATATATTATTATTATATATTGGTGTATAATATTATATATCAAGTTTTTTATGATTTTTGTAAAAAAGAAATATGAAAGTTTGAATACTCTTGTATAGTAAATTGTGTTTAGACCAAAGATTATCGTAAATTTTGGGCTAAAGACTTATAAAGTAAGTTTTAGGTAATATTTTTTCAATGTAAGTTAGATAATCGTAGTTTTGCCAAATTTTTCCAATTTCGATAATCATCCATGTGGCAGATGTAGAATATCGAGTTCATTTAAATCAAACACTTTTAACACGGAGCATAAATTCTTATATTATCTACTACAATTATTACAAGTACTCCTACTAGTTTTCATAATTCTAAAAACACAATAAATTCAATAACGAAAAAATTGAAAATATAAAATTCAGATTTTAAATCTACCAACTTTGATTATCTAATGAAGCGATAACTTACAAAATTTTAGAACTGGACCTAATGGTTAATTACTCATTAAATCCTCTCATTTGCATAAAAGGGATCTTAGTCCACAATTTTAAAGATCTATATACTAATTATCTTGAAAAGGGGAAAAAAGAATATCTCATTAAATTATTTTACCATAACCTTCATAATTTTACTATTTCATTATAAATAGTGGGATAATATAATTCTAAAATTAAGTAATACCTCAAATTATATATTGTGATATTTATAAAAACGACCCCTTAAAGTAAAGTTTAGAAATTAAGAATATGTTGATATCACGTGCTTCATGGATTCTAAGCACGTGACCCGTTTAGCAGCTCTCCTTATTTTTCCTTTTATTTTTAGTTTAAGGGTTTTCCAAAAATGGTGTTAACTGTCAAATGAGAGGATTAGTTTGAATTTACAAATGTTAAAATAGATTAAGTTAACAAATGGACGGATTATTAATCTATTTAAATGTAACTTGAACTGAAATGGGTTAAAAATCAATCATAATTCAATTAGTCCAATACCAAGTTTTCAATTCATTTTTTATTTATAATTTGTGTGACTATCTAACATTCTATATAATTTTCATGTAATACAAAATCTTAAATTTTTTTATTTTTTATTTCATATTAAATTATATTTTTTTACGCTTCTAAAGAACAATTTCGAATAATTGAAAAAAGAAATCAACAGGCATAATCGTAATTACAATCACAACTTCTCTAAATCATACACTAATTTGTTAAATCTAAAAACGATCTACGGAATTACCAAAATATTGTTGTGTTTTTTAAAATTATCATGTTATGTATTGTTTTGTATTTAAATTATTATATCATGTATTGTATTTTCAAATTTAAATTTTTTATCTTATAATTTAAAATCAATCTTCATAGTGAAAATTAATAATATCATCAATTGTATCACAAAGTAATGAAAATTTAAAAAGTATTTAAAATATTGTTAATTTGAGATGAAATAGTATATATAAAATAAAATATTTTGAAAAATATTATATTACATTTAAAATAATTGTGCATATTAGAGATTTAATTGATAGATTTATATGACAAATGATATGTTAATTACAAAATAGTACAAATAATAATATAATATTAAAAAAAAAGTCAAATAGAGAATATCATAATAATCCTTCAAATTTGGAGAGCTATTATTCAATTCTATATAATTGGAGAGTAAATGATAAAATAGAAAATATGCTTGGATATCTTTTATTTTACTCTCCAAATATAAAAAATGGAGAGTAAATTAATATAATTACACTAAATTTTTTTCCATATTCCTTTTAACCTACCTACCAAAATATAAACTGATAAAAGGATCAAAGGGAGTGTTATATATATATATATGGAAAATAAATCTGAGGTAAAAATAATTAACTGCGTAATCTTTGCGTGTTAGGCTGTTAGAAGTTAATGCAATTTACCCACAGTAGTAATTAATTTCCTACGTGGGTGGGTGGGGGTGGGGTTATGGAAATAATGGGCTATAAATACACAAATTACTCAATGCTTAATACTCCAAATCTAACTTTCATTTGCTTAATTCACTGCTAATTACAATGGCCGCCATTCATAATCACTCTTATTTATTCCTTGTCTTCTTCATGTTCGGTAAGTTTTTATCCCTTTCGTAGTTAAATCGATATTAGGTTCATTTGAATTAATATTTTTAACGTGAAATATGACTTGATATTTAAATTTATTTGAATTTAGAGTTTAATAATTTAATGATAAAAATGTTAAAGATTGAATTAATAGAGTTTAAATTATGAATACATCGAAAAAATAGAGCGGGTATGTAACAGTTTTACTTACTATTTTGCAGAGGCGATTGCTGTTTCAGCAACTCAGTTTACGCTTCAAAACAATTGCGGCTACACAGTTTGGCCCGGTACACTTTCCGGCAACGGAGTTCCTATCTCCGGCGATTCTGGATTTGCATTAACTCCCGGCGCTACTATCCAACTCTCCGCTCCTGGTGGATTTTCCGGCCGATTCTGGGGAAGAACCGGTTGCAATTTCAACAGCACCGGAGCTGGTAAATGTATAACCGGCGATTGCGGTGCATTGAAATGCCCTAGCGGAGCGGGCGGCGCACCTCCGGTGAGTTTAGTTGAATTCACAATCGCGAAAACCAACGCTGAGAAGGACTTTTACGATGTTAGCCTTGTCGATGGATACAATGTCGGTATTGGAGTACGATCTTCCGGCGGATCTGGCGATTGTCAATACGCCGGCTGCGTCGCCGATCTAAATGCGATCTGTCCAAAGGAATTGCAAGTGATGGATAACGGTGCAGTTGTAGCGTGTAAAAGTGCGTGTGCGCAATTCAACACGGCGGAGTATTGTTGCACCGGCGCACATTCGACGCCGGCGACTTGCTCGCCGACGAACTACTCACGGATTTTTAAGAGTGCGTGCCCTAGTGCTTATAGCTATGCATATGATGATGCTTCAAGTACCTGCACTTGTGCTGGTGCTGATTATCTTATCACATTTTGTCCAACAGCTTCATAATTTTAATTATTTTTTTAATATGATTAAAATAATTTATGATTATTGTTACAACATAGGGGAATACTATTTTTTGTAATCTCCAAATTCATTATAATATACAAAAATAATTTATTACCCTATTGTCTATGATATTATCATTCAATATTTTTAATTTCAATGCTGATTTTATAACATATGATAAATTTGTAACAGTAATCTTATCTGACTTTCATTTAAATACAATGGAGGATTATGGTAATGTTGGTTATTATGATAATTGCGTTATTGTAATTGGGTACTTAGCAAAAGTAAGTATGCACCAGTAATTATACTCAAATTGTAATTATGGCATGATCATATCTTTCATAATAAAAGACTAAAACATCCTAAACATAGAATATCCGATAACATCGAAAATTTTACTTTTTAATACATTATTCGTATAAAATTCTTTTTTCTATAAAAATTTTGACTAATATGATTTGTGTATAATTCTAATTAAAGATAAAGATATATTTATACTTCACCGCGATCTTCCATGGTATAATTTAAGGTGAAGTTGGTGTTACAAAAATTAAAAGGTACTTGTTCCAATTGATATTTTACTTACTCTCCCTACTATATTTTTTTTTTTTTTATAAAAAAAAATCCATCAGTTTATAACTTGATATTTTTGAGGTGAAAAGATTCTTTCTTGGGTCGGTGTGAATATTGTAAAAAATAGGTGTATCTATCAATACATTGGAGTTCAAAATTGTCTTATTTTTGAAATGGAGAAAGAGTCAAATCATTGTTTAATTAAAATGACAAATTTATTTGAACAAATACTACAAAATAAAGTCAGTGGGATCTGTCCATTTTAATCAGATTGCAACTGAAGTTTAATATTTAAAATAGTTACTTATGTTTAAATCATATGAGATTAATCAAGGACACTGACATTTCTAATGATTAATAATATAATATAATAATATTCACACCTCATCGACGGTTAAAATGTTCCTTTTGGCATAACAAGTGTGTGGATTAATTTAAATAAAAAAAATTAAATGTTTCAATCCATCATGTCACAAACAATGAGTGATTAGTAGAAGAATAAAACCTCATAGTTACAAAAATATCAATAAAAATAACGATAATCGACTTAATACAAGAAGGAGAGTGAAAATTGAACTCACACTTATTACGCGAAAAGTTATCAAAATCTAAACGATAGTAAGACAGAATACACAATTAATGGCTTCAAGGCCTTAGGCCAATTCATTTTACTCTTATCCTTTTTTTTTCTTTGATTACATTTCCTCTACATCAAGACTTTCATCTTTGAAAGCCAAAATCTCAAGTTAATTTCCCATCCCAAATCTTTTAGCAAATGAACATTTGGGATGAGAGAAAAAAAAACGCTAAATTTATGAGCGCTTCGCGCACACATTTTCCTCCTACCCCAAAGAGAGAAAAAAAAGCTTACAACACATTACAAGTAGGCCAATGAAAACGAAAAAAGAAGACCTAAAACTACCTACAATGTACACCAAATTCATTTTCTATAGTTTGGCTCTTCTAAAACCAAGCGTCCAATTCGCCCCAACCTGTGCAAAGACCTTGACCCTCGTGTTCATTACTAAATAGTGTTTGGTCCGAGCAATCAAGTGATGCTCCACATGCCACGTTATACGATTGGCAAGCTGAATGACATACTCGTAGACGGTTGTCCCCATCCTTGTCACATTTTTGGATTGAGATCTGGTTTTAAGCAGTTTGAAAGGAATAATGAATCAATCGTATGTATAAAAACACATGTATGGTAGAGTTCTTTGAGCTCAGTGTGACGAAAACATAAGGAGTTGTTTTGTTTTGGATGAAGAATCTTACCCAGCAGGCTAGTCGTTTAGCAGCTCCATCACAATCTCTACCCCTGAAAATGTTCAAAATCTTTCGAGGACCAGCTGGGAATAGTCGGTTGTAGTTGGGCATCACCACTACTTCTTCCAGCTGCTGCAAGATACTTAACTCGCTAGGTGCACAGTGTTGTCCTGATACATCATTTTGAAGCACATCTTTGCAAACAGAGAGACTAGGAAGAAGCGTGGAGCTATTCTGGCACGTGTAACCAGCATAGTCAGAACAACGGAACTCACAGACTCCATTGTCACAGACCCCACCGTGAAGACTGCACTGCTCATCGCAAACAGCTGTGTCACCAATGGAAATGTTAGAATCATCCTTGAAACGTCCTTTGAATGATGTATCTTTTCGAAAACGAAGCAACACATTCACAATTATTAGGTATAACGAAAAGTAGATGTTGTCAAACTGTTATCTTACGAGGTCTAGTCATAGTTGAAGTTACAAAATCAATGGTTTCTTCAAGCAACCACTACTTCCAAGCTCGATTACAAAAATTATTTTGTTTTAGAAAAAAAGGGGAGGCACCCAAAAGATTTTGAGCTGGTTCAATGAACTAAGGTAGCGTTGGGCCAACAGAGGCTAAGTTGACTACTACTTTTACAGCATAACTAACATGTGCAAGGAAGGAATCAATTAAACCACGTTACCTGTGGAACAATCAACGCCAGTATACCCGTTATCACATTCACATACACCATTCCCAAGACACTTTCCATGTCCACCACAACTGCCAGGACATGAGCCTGAAATAGAAAGCAGAAGTGTGATTACACCAAATAAACCAACTTCCCTCAAAAGATTCCACTGTCACAGAGAAAGTACGGGAGCTCACGTTTGCTACAATCATGACCACCAAACCCAATAAAGCATCTACATTTTCCACCTAAGCAATCTCCGTTGAAATTGCATGAATTGGGACATTGACTAGACAACAAAGCTGGATTCACATCGCATAGTTCGTGGTAAGCTGGGCAGACGAGCTCACCTACAATTGAGAAAAAAATTAAGTAAACAGAAAGAGGAGATTCAATAAATCAACAAAGAGATACCTTAGTTATTGAAGAGAAGTAGCATGATTAATATTTACCATTAAAGCCAGGAAACTGGATAGGACCACCAGCTTTTGGACAAACTCTCCAAATGCCATCTACTGCTACCTGCGAGAAATTTAATCATATATAATAAGCCAAATGTAAGATATCCTTCACAAGACTTGTTCTTTTTTCCAAAATATAATCTGAGCGGGAAGAAACGAACTAGGAAAGCTACCTCAGATCTATCAAACATATAAGAGTCATCCTGAGATTTCATTGCTAACACTTAAAACTCGGAGATATTAACATGACGCTCACCTTTGTAACATTCTTTTATGACCCATTGCCCAATTTAGTTCGTCATATATTATTGACCTCTTTCCTTGAGAGATAATGACAATATTCACATATTCAGATTGGTTCAGCAATACTATTCCATCTTATTTTGATTTTGATAGGATAAATATGCAATTTCAGTATTTTCCAACTGCTTGTTTTACCTTGTTCAAACAAAAAAAGGTATAATTACATGTGGTATTCCTCTTTTTACCTCAGCATTATTTGAAGTTTTAACTATGGCTTTCTCATGGATGGTTAGACAGCCTTTTACTATTAGAAGAATGTAGATATTTCTTGTAGGTACTGAAGTTTATTCCATAGCATGGCTCGATAGAAGTAGAATTATCTAGTATATCTTGGTTTAGACAGATCACAAATATTTCAAGTAACAATTCCAGGCAGATTGCAAATATTACAAACTTCATGCCTTCATATATCCAAAATGCAAATTCGAAGATTGAGAATACAAAGGAATGGAAGAGATATCCAACTATTATCCTCTCATGGTTGAACGTAGCTCTTGAGCTTTGAACCATTCTCTCACATCTCATTTATCATTAATGAGCTAATATCTCTTTCTCAAAAAAAACTAATGAGCTAATATATATTCTCTTGGATGGGCAACTAAATCAAAGCAAAAGATAAACAACAAATACAGCAGAAGAGTAATTACCGAAGTCATACCTCTAACGAATTGTTTGAGCACCTATGCTGATAACAACCATTGCCTTGGGCCATTGAGCCACGTACAAATCCAGAACGCACTAGAGAAGAAGACATGCACCTGTATGGATTTAAACAAAAAACTAGTGAGCTAGTATCCGATTAGATATAATCTCCAAAGGCTACAGGCGAACGCCTCACCTTGAACTACTTCCCCTCACTTCACCTAACATCCTATCAGGTGCTCGAGCACCATTCGTGTCCGTACAAGATCCATCAGAGTAAGCAACAAAATAAGTGCAATAATCTGCCAATGATGACTGACCACCTGCAACAGCCATCCACCAGAAGTTACAACAGGAAGCCAGTTCAAGAAACTTACTAAACTAGTAATGTTTGTTTCAAAATCTTAATTGGCGTGCATCCACCCAACAATACTATTAGTCGACTTGTTTATCGGAAGTTCAAAGTTGACCAAAAGATTGGGTATCCAAGACAAAATCAGTTTTCAATGACAATGAAATATCAAAAACAATGAAAGTAAAGAAATACCTTTGTTAGCCTGTGGAAAATAACGAGCCCATTGAGGGAGATCCCCACTATAATTCATTATTGGACAATAACCTTCAGCCTCCCTGTTAAATGTACATCCAGATAACTGGGTAGTGTTACAATGATAGGCTCCCTTCCAGTGATTGCAGGGGAAGGTAACGAAATCTGGTCCTTGGTTGCGTCCCCAATCAAGACGGTCAGCCATGCTGTAATTAGCCCGGTACCATCCACTGTCCTCAAGTAAAGCAAGAGTCATTTTTGAAACCACTGATCTTGTATCTACTGACCCAGTCATGATCTCGTTCATCAATAGCCTTTTCTCCCAATGAGAACCTGCAGCGATTTGTTCTTTAAACAATCTATCTATAATTCAAAAAGATGTTCATTTAGCAGGATTCTATAATGTTGACATCTTTTTGCCAAGAAAATGCAGGAGGGTGTATCTCAGAAGAATCCATTCAACATAGAAGATAAATATCAACCTGATGTACCACGTCCGCCTCCATCTTCCAGCTCAAGTCCAGTGAAATTCTCAGAGAATGCCTGCAGTGTTAAACTGGTTAAGGGTATTCTAACTTTAATGGGTTTAGCTTTGCCCATAAATTTAATGTGGCAAAAAATAACTAGGTTATATAAGCCACAGGAATTAGAGGAAGAATATTGAAGAAAATGAAATACTATAGACTATATACCCCATAGTGATGGCGAGCATGCATGATAACTCGAGGAAGCACTACTCGAGTAACCATTCTTCCAAGTTTTTCATCCATTACCAGTTCAGTAACCTACGAATGGAAACGGCAAGTAAATGCACATCAGGCTTCAGCATAACCAGGTCTGAAATAAATGTTAGTGAACCCTCGACTATCAGTAAAAGAACTTATATGAATGCAAATTAAAACAAAAGGGGGGCACAGATGCTCTGTCCTAGCGAATAAGGAAACCGAAGAAAATAAGCAAACACAGAAAGGATTTTGGCATTTCCAAGCAAGAAGAAACATCCTTTGAGATGTTGGAGAAAAGATAAGAGTAGGGGACGCAAGGCAAATACTAGATCCAGACAACACTTGAAATAGGCCACAACACTTATCATAGAGAAAAGGCAATGTTTCGCTTTGCAGAATACTATATGCCCTACGACAGAGATGTTGGAGAGAAGACTAAGAGCAGGGGACTCAAGGCTAATACTAGATCCAAACGATACTTGAGATAGGCCACACCACTTATCATAGAGAAAAGGCAATGTTCACTTTACAGAATCCTATATGCCCAACGACAGAGACAAGTAATAGCATACAAGAGGACAGAGCATCAAAAGATGTGGAACTAGTAGGAATTAAAGAAGTTTGGGAAAGTTTTGAGCACCATTCACAACTTTTAATTATCCAAATAAATTATTTGTTATCAAGTTTTGCTATGGTCTTCCAGTAATAAATAAATTGAAGAGAAAAAGCTCCTACTTTGGAGCATAATGCGGACTCCGAACATCAGACTTGGCAACCAAAGGAGAAGGGTAAAACACAAGAGTAAGTTTAGCCCCTTTACTACATCATTTTTAAATTTAGCCCCTTGAGATCTCTTCCACCCACCTTCTGGTCTCATTTTTCTTTATTCCAACTTGTTTTACTTGACTAATGTGTGTTGCATTCTTGAGAAAATAAGATAGAATCAGTAAGTTAACAGAAGCTGATCTTATTAACTGACGAACCATATGCTTAACAAAAACAAAAATTCAATTGAATAATATGCTTGTTCTCAAAAAGATAGCAGAAGAACCAAATCACAGACATTTTTAAAAGGTTGAGCACAATTGACCATATAAAAGAACAAAATATGTAACAGCTCTCCAAAATCTCATAAAAAAGCCCTTCTCTATTGGAGATAATTATAAATCACAAGAAAAGAGTAATTTTCTTTTCTACAGTACAGCCAACACAAGGATATCACAACTTATGTGAACATAGAGTCTATTGTGCACTGTTTGCTCTTTTATTTCCCTACATGAGAACTTTTTACAAGAGATAACTACTGCAGGGTGAGGAGATTATTGCAGTATATGAACTCTTATCAGCATGAGTTTCTACTGGTGCCTTTCTGCTTGGTTATAGCACATGCAAAATCAAAATTACCTGACTTCGCCTACGTTTTCTCTCATCACGAAAATGAGCAAAGGCATGAGGATCAAATCCAAGAACGTGCATTACTTCATGTATCAAAGTAGCTTGAAGTAAGGTTTCCGCTTCAGCAGTTAAATGCCGAGGAGCTACATTCACATGCCCTGAAACCAGAAAATCTCAGTTTAGCAATGGTGTCTACGAAAATTTCTAGTGCATTGACATGCTTTTGTTCACACAACACTCACCAGCAACAGCACGACCCCATTGATCACGCTCACATGCTACAGCCCATGCAAGAGTGTTGCCGGTTGTTGGCCTTGTAGTCACAAGAAGAACCAAATCCGCATGTGCAACACCCTCTGAAGTATACATGGAGAAATTATGTTAATTGAAACATGACAATAATGATTTAACAGTAAACGAAAATATCATAATCAAATGAGGAAATCCAAGCAGCTGATAATCCAATAAAAGTACCTTCAACATATTTTCTTGGGAGTTGTACACCTCCATCTTGTCCACAAGCAGAATATCCACTTAACCTCAGGTTTCCCTTAACTGGCTCAACAGATAACGCTCTTTTAAACCAATCCGCTGTCTGCTCGAGGGCCTATATTGCAAATTGCATCCGGTTAAAATTAAAGCCCTGGCTATCAAGTACTACTTACTGGCATTAGAAATGGTATAGTGTTACAGAAATAGCCTTATCGGGAGAAGAGAATAAACCTTGCGAAGGCGATGCCTTTTGTCCTCCCCAGCTATATCATCTAAGGTACAGTTATACCAGCAATCACCATAAACTGGAGGATCTCCATGTGGATTACAAGAAGACGTACCAGAAAAAGAAGCACCTGGTGGCTCCCCAAGCTAATTAGACAGAGAGAACTGATGAATTAGCAAGGACAAGTATCAAATTTCTCAACACATTTCTCAGCTGATGATAAGTACTTACCTTCACAATGTCGCCGACTTTTTGACAATCTCTCTCAGATGAATGACCGACAGCATCATAATTCAAAAAGATTCGGATCGGTTGCATGACATCATTTTGTTCTTTGGAAATTTCAAGTAATGCCCTTCCTCTACGGTGAGGGGGATCTGAAGCCACAGACTCCTCATACACCTGAGGAGTGACGGAATACACTTGCAAACCAGGTCTTTTCCTTTGTTCAATTATCTGATCATGGATACAAGAATGTGAAATGGTACTCTTGTCTTCATTCTCAAAGTCTTGTCTCAATAATTGATGATCCGAGAAAGTTGCTAAACTGGTCTCTAAACACAATAGTATAAATAGGACCTAAGGAAAAACAAAAAAACATCAATCAAAATCTAGCTTGTATTACCTATATGCTGTCCCAGTAACACTTAAACGATTAGAGCGCGAAAAGAATTATGTCACAAGCAAATTAAGATGAAGGAATAGATGTTCATAATCTGCAATGAACAGCTATCTCTAATATCTCTCAAAATTCCATAAGCAGCACAAACCAAAATCAACTTTTTTTGAGCTCCACAAGTTTACTGAAGCTAATTAAGAACCTTAAGAAACTAACTCTTACCCCAAGCTGAATAAAGTCCATGACAATCAGTGGAAATACAGAAAATAACCCCTCAAGCAAAAAGCCCCAATCTTTAAACCACAAAAGGAGGAAACTTTTACCCTTATTAGAGCCAATTACTCAAATATAAGTAGTTTCACAAAATACCCATTACCCAAAATAAAGAAGAAGGAAAATTAGAACTTCATAAGGAACTACAAGATCTTATAAATGGAAAATACCATAAAAATGAAACAAGCTTTCAAGGGGATAACAGCAAAAAGAAACTTTCTGAATACTTCAAACTTCAGCAGATCCAAAATTCCTAAATTTCCAACCTCAGAAATTTCCTCTTTTTAACTTCAAATTATTTTTTTTTTCATCTATCCAAACAGCTTCCTAATAACTCATACATTCTTACCATTTATCCTCATCAGTTACCAGCATAATATCCCAAAAAAAATGAAATAAACCCTAAATCCCCAAATTAAAAAGTCTCACCTGGGAAAACAATATAGCAAATCTGAGCTTAGTTGAAGAGCTGGATTTAGAATGAACACTGAGAAAAGTACAAGTATTACTTCTACTGATACCACCACTACTACTACTACCACTACTCCAACACCAAATCTTCAACTCCATGAAACGCTGCGTTTAACAAAACACACCATCAAATCCCCGCCGTACACGGCGTTTCTCCGATCGATTCCGTTTTCCAAAAGAAATGCAGACCCCTCCACATTATCCAAACAGATGTGTATATCTACACACCCTCTGAGGTGTAAAGATTGAAACTTTATCAATCTTGTACACACCCTTTTGAAAATAAACAACAATGAGAACAACAAAATCAAAAAAAAAAAACTCAGTTCTTTGAATAAATATGAACTGGGTTTTTCTTGGTTCTGGGGAAAAGAGACTACTATCTTAGCTTCTTGTTAAACAGTGAAACAAAAATCTGTACATTTTGTGAAAGCAGAGTTTCTTGTATTTGTTTGTACACTGAAAAATTAATAAAGAAGAAATATTCAGAGGATGATATGAAAATTGTGTATAATTTAATATTATATATAAAGTATATATATATATATAATAAAAGTGAATAAGAATAGGTAAGGGTGGGTGGAGTTAGATCATAATATTTTATTTTGATTAAATTAATATTTTACTATATGGTTTTTTCAATGAAAAAAGTTGTATAAAATATAAAATATCATGGTTTTTAGAAAAGTAACCTTGCCTTTTCTTGAAATTACTGAAATACCATTGCCTTTTTGTTTCATTATAAAAAAATGAGTGGCTTAGACCAAAAAAATAATAATAATAATAATTAACCTCTTTCAATTGGAGTTTATAAAATTACAATTATATTTATCATCTTAACGTATTTTATTTGAATCAAGTAAATTTTAAAAATAAAGATCTGCTAAATTTTATTATTTTTAGATTTCACGGTTTTGTATTTTATTTGAATCAAGTAAATTTTAAAAATAAAGATCTGCTAAATTTTATTATTTTTAGATTTCACGGTTTGTATTATTATGATGAATATGATATGATAACTTTAGATTGAGATTTCACTAAATGACATTTGAGTAAATTGTTAATTATGATTTTTGTTTTATTGGTATTAGATTATGTGATACAACAAGATATTAATTATTATATGGAGTTGTTTGAGTAATATATATATTTTATATATAATTGAGAATATATGTTGTTGTCCAATTTTACATACGTGACAAAACAAAATATCAGTAGAAGTTTCATAAAAGGGATACAGCAAATCAACAATAGGAAAGTTTATTGTCAATTAGCTAATTAGATAAACTAATTGGGGTTTTATAATAATTATTTTTTCATAGCACTAACAACTTTATTTTTTAGTCATCAAATATGAAATGGGTTGAAATTAAAGTTATAGACGTTTTTGTATATTTACCTTAAGATTGAATATTTTCAAAGTTGTTTTGTGTAATAATATGAATAAAATATGTATATATGTTATTTTCTTAAATATTATTTGTGAAATTATATTTTTGTTAGAAATTTTTTATATATATAGTGTTGAATTAAAATACAAATGGACAATAATAAATATATTGACAATTTTTATTAATATTTAAAACGTTTAAATAAATATTTACTAATAATATCATTTATTTTAAAACGATGAGATTCGTTTCGAAGGAAAAATGTTGCCACCTTTAAATGAATTTGAGTATATTTGGGGCAATTTACAACCTTAATTTGGAAATTAATTGCATATAAGAATTTGTACTCCTTCTATTTTCGTCCTTTCTAAAAGAAATATATCTACTATAAAATATAGGATTAGCACGTTATTATTATTATATACACCTTAAATATGATTATAAAAATTGCAATGAAATAATATTTTTTTTTAATTAAGAAACTCAAACTTTATATATAAAAACGAGTAGTATCGATTAAATAAATATTTTTAAAAAGAAATTTAAGTAAAGATAGAATTATCCTTCATTTAGAATTGGAAAAGAAAAAGACATCTCTACTTGTCAATCAACAACCGAATGATGGGTCCTCAATAATTGTTCCAACAATTTAATTTAGATAAATCTATTAAAATATATCTATTTCATATTTATAAGTACCATAATTATTTTTATTATTATCGAATTTCAATTAATTTAAATTGGTGAAAGTTATTTTATATCAAGATTTTTTTTTATATTTTCGAGACTCAAAAATAATGGCGGTCCTTGAAATTTTTAATAAGAGAATTTAAAATGTGAAGAAATAAACATGTAAATTAAACAAAAGAAATTTAACATTTTAATACATATAAAAATAATTTCAACTGTTAATAAAAAGTAATATATTTTATCAAAAGACATTAAATAAACTCTAATAATATACTGATTTCGCCCATACTCAAAAAATAAAAAAAAATATATTCATCTCGACGTAACATTTGAATTATTATTACAAGAGTATAACAAAAATTAAATTAGAAACTTTACAATTGTAAAAAATAAAATTAATAAAATTAAATGAAAGCCATGTCATAGACACGTTTACTTTGTATTACTTCCTCCGTTCGAAATTATTTGTCATTTTATGCTTATCGAAATTCAATTTAACTAATTACCACCCTGGATAAATGCAAATTGTTTAATATTATGTACTAATAATCAACCAAATGTCATAAATACAGTAAATGCCGTAAAAATGTCTTTATTTGATCCAATTATCCAGCTCAGATATCAAATGTAATTTCAGAACAATGAAAATGCTAATATAAAATCAGATATCAAATGAAAAAGAAAAATTATTTTTAATTATAAATACTATATTTGAATTTTATATATCAAAATGATCTTATTATTTAATGAGTCTTATATAATACTGTAGTTTTAGAATAATAAAAATTTTAATATGAATATGAGATATTAAATGAAAAATCGAATTATTTGCCTTAATTGACTTAAATTTGAAAAGAAAAATGTTATAGTTAACGCCTTTTATGGCATGCATGACTTTTGCTAGCACTATATTAATTATATAGTGTTGTAAAGGCTCTTGTTTTGAAGGGGTTTTTTTTTTTTTTGATCCTAAATAGTTTTTTTTCAAATGTAAATTAAATTACGAAAATTGTGATGAAGATAAAAATTAATTTACTTTGATTTGATATAATTATTTAATAAGAAATTTTATAATAAATAACTTTTTGACGAGGTTATTCTTTATCCACACACACCCCACAAAATAAATTTAAAAAATAATAAGGTCTCAAAACGATCCAATGTTTATATTCGTACATAAATATAAACAATTATGTATTTGTTTTAATTATGATGAATGTTAATTGATTTTTTCTTAATTTAAAAAAATTATGGCCAGTTATTACGCATATATTTTCAGTGTTTTTCTATCTTTTAATTTATCCATTTTACCTCCAATTTCAATCCATCGTGTTTTTAATATTAGCTTATAAAATTATCTTTAAGTATTTGATTGTATTTTTAAATATTTTCATTTAAATAATTAGATTATTAAATAATTAAATTAAAAGAAAATCATTATCCTAATTTGAGTGTCTTCTAAAACATCAAATTTTTTTTTGCGATATTGATTATTTAGACATATTAGTGTAATTAAAAGTAATACTTATAAGATATTATAAAAGTAAAACTGATACTCAAATTGACATACTCAATCAAGTAATGTCTTGATTCTATTTTAAAATATTTCTACTAATTCTAATAGTTTATATAACAATTTACTCAATAAGAAAAGTTTCCAAAACTAAAATTAATTTTTTTTATCCAAGATCTTAACAATTGGGATGATGTAGAAACGTAAAATAATTTATATAGGCCTATTAATATCTTATAAATATTACTAGAATTGTTACAAATCAGATAAAAAAAGGAAAATTGATTGCCAAATAAAATATATGTAAAATATCAAACAAAGCACAATACAAATTATTTTAAGAAAATCTTTTCACACCATTTATTGTATTGTGGCGTTGCTAATATATATAGTCCCGATAAAAAAGATTGGTATTTAGAATTATTACTTATAGAACTAGGTATACTATGAAACCAAGGGAAAGTATTTAACACCATAAATATTTTTTCTTTTCAATATATCTATAAATTTGATTTAACATAAGTGGTTGCAATTGAAATTCAATACAAATGAGTGTTACTAGTGATATTTATGATGTTATGTCAGCGATTGACAATAAACTTATTTTCTATTTCTTTTATATTGGATAGCAAACAAAATTTAACTTTTCATCTTTATTTTATCTTCACCAGCTTCACATGAATAACAAAAAGTTTCATAAAAATAATTATAATTTTAAACATTAAAAACGAATAATATATTCTTATGTAATACTTAAAGTATATTCTTTTTTAATAAGATCTCATAAGTTGTAGTAATTAACTGTTGCAACAGTTATTATAAAAAAAAGTTATTCTCTAGTTCAAAATTTTCATCCAATTTCTACAAACTAACATTACTTTTTGAATGTACAAAACAAACAAATAAAATATTATAACAAGCAATCGATTTTATAATTTGTCACGATTTAAAATCATTGATAAAAAGGGTAGTTAAAAGTTTGGTGTTTTGTTTACCTAAAAAAATCCCCAATGCAAAATTTCAATAGCATCTTAAACTATGATTATTTTAATAATAAAATTAGTCTTATTTTTTGTTGGATTGTAGTTAGTTACAACTCATCAACCAAAGGATAAATAAATGTAAAAATGTTTAAACATTTTTTGGTTTGTAATTAATAACTAATAAACCAAATGTCATAAATAAGGAAATGTGTAAAAATTAAAACACCTCTATTTGGTTCAATAATTCAATTCCCTTTACTTAAACGTCAACTCCAATTGACTTCAATTTGAAAAAAAATAATGTACATTTTTGTAGTTATAGTTAAGTACTTTATGAAAATTGAAATGCATCACTTTAGTTTGTTCTTTTTTGGAAAGTCAAATTAGAAGTAGACCATTTCAAATTTTTATTTGCAATTTTCTACTATGAGAGACAAAATTGGTACTCCTAGTAAGAAAACATATTAAAGTCAAATTATAATTTAGATGGTAGAATTAGAGCTAATATTACTCCTAGTAAGAAAATATATTAAGGTTAAAAACTTAGATTTATTGGCTTCTATAGGTTACCAAACCTATATTATAATATTATAAAGAAATGTAAGGAGATTAAAATAAAAATAAAATTATTTGAGTTTAATTAATGATGACATGAGATAATCTAATTAATCAACAAAATAATGTTCTTAAAAAAATCACCCAAGAGAATGGCCATATATGATAATACTATTTTTTCTTAATTTATAATTATTTTACTTTTAAAAATTTGAATAGAAGTATTGGACAATATAAGAAGTAGGAAGAGAATATGAAAAAGAACATAAAAAGACAAATGTCTTCGTTTAGATTTTTTTTTTCACGCTTAACCTATGTTAAAAGAGAGGATTAAGAGAAAATTAATTAACGAGAGGGAGAATTCACAAATAATAG